TAAAATGTTTTAGAAATTCATAAATAGGTATATTGTGTCGTTGTGACCAGTGATCAGTTTTCCGATTTTAGGTAGATAAATATATCACAATTTTCATAAATTTATTTTATAATRTCATTTTGGTGTTATACGCCMAACACCGAAAGTTAATTAATACAATTTGCTGTTTTTTTACTAAATTTTTATTTTTATTTTCTTCCAGGCTTTACTTTTAAAGTAAATATTAATCATCATAATAATTCTGACATTAACTTCTATGAGAAAAGTATACTATCATCTAGATAAGAAGGATATCATATTATTGTATACTATATACTCGTATATGTAATTTTAATTTGTAATAACTTATATGTTTTAAGCTAATAAAAAAAAWTATTTTAGACATAAGGGACCATACAATTACAAATACACYGATAATAATAAGTCATAACAATCGTAAACTCGATATTTTTTATTGAACATTTAAGAAATTATTTTTTGAGATTTAAGAATAGCTTTTTGTTACAGCATACAGATTATCATAATATAATAGTAATAGGAAAACGATAAATCATTGTATTTYATTTGCTAATTGCAGAAACAAATTGTTATTGTTTCCGGACTTCGGATTAATAAAAAAAAAAATAATAATGTTATTGTAACTTATACCATTGATATATAAAATATACTGTGTATGTAGTATTTTATAATCAATGCTTATGCATTTAAACAAAAACAAATTTTTGTCCGGGCAACGCTGATTGGAGACAAATATTGTTATAATAAATACATAGCAACAACATAGCAAACATTATTTCATTCAATATAATTCTTCTAATTGTTCATTTGAATATTATATACATTTGCTGACAATTTGCGTTCAAAAAATGTTAAGAAAGTTTATAGTTGCAGGAATTACGTTTGGCGCTGTAAGCGTTGTTGGGTTATTGTATCGTTATATTACCAATCAGAAGCAGTTATTAAATAATAATGACGTGAAAATTGTAAAAGTAATCAAAAYATTTATTTATTTATGTCATATTTATTTTAATTTGTACAGTCTGTATAAATGGACACTTAAAGGGTTTGGTTGGCTAGATTATAGGTAAAAACTATGTGTAATGCAGTTGATATATGAGATTACTTATTTTGTAGAACTAAATCTTGATAGTATCTTTTCTATTAATTTAATAGGACGATGGTGAAAAGGACAAATCGTCRAGAAGAAGAATCGAAATAATTGATAAAAACTCAAATAATGTCATGAAAAAACAAACATTACATTTTGTAGAAGGTTAGTTTTTCATATAAATAAAATATATTGAGTTTAATTATATTTCAATCAAAAATATTTTCATATTAGATAAAAAGTTACCAAGCAATAATTTGGACTCAATAAAAAGTAATATTATAATACATATTATTATATCGACCTACCTACAATAGTAATTAACAATATTTWTAACGTAACGTTCGTTTAGGAAGCGAATCGAACAATAAGCTTGCAATTCCATTCCACCAGAATTTACCAAACTCGCGTATGCTAATGCATCAACCGATGAGACSAACCAACATGGAAAAATGTATGGTATCAGAATCGGTTATAGTGGAAGAGATTATTACAAGACCACACTCTCCACCGTCGACATCAGAGGCGGGCTGGGAGGTAAACRGCCCAGAATTCTTCTGTCGGGGCCAGCCCTACCTGTTTATACCACCCACTATGAATAAGGTATTTATAATACCTACCTACTTTTTCGGGTATTTTATCAAATATATTAGGCGGTACTGGATTGCGCACTACAAAACTAATTTTCGATTCGAAAACTTCACTAATTTCTAAATCCATGTTTAGTACCTAATTATAGGCTAGAGTCATAACTAGAGACGAATTTTATGCATTTTCATGGTGATCCTATGCAAGTATATGCACTTATAAGATGGTTTGAAATGTCGGCGATTCAGACTTTATTGRATCCGTAGACCAATTTTAATTTTGCATATAAATGCATATTTGGTGGGTTGGTGCATATTTTTTCGTAAGTGCATATAATGTGCACAATTTTACGGTCTTAATAAATAATGTCGGACCGACATTCATGGTAACATTTGATTTTAGATTATAATAGAAAGTTTATACTTTATAGTACTTTTTGAATAGTATCTAAGAATTAAAATTCGTGACTATCTTAATAGCCGGCCATTACATGATTTAATGTTGGTAGTTGTATTATTCTTATTTTCATTTAATTAATTTAATGTATATAATAGCATGGCGTATGTTACCGACTTATCGTAGGCCATGTTTGAGGTGGGAAACGGGTAGAACGTATTATATRAGGGTGATTAAATCTGTTATATAAATGTATAATATGATTCGTTATTATTCGGTTATCTTAAGATAGCTTTATAGGTAGGTAAATATATTGTTTAAAGATAAAAATATAATGTTTGATGCAGTAGGTATATGAGATTAGTTAAGTTGTAGAACTAAATATTGACAGTATATTTTCTATAATAGGACAATGGTGTAAAGGACGAATTGCCTAACCCAGAGTCAGGAACAAGTATCAAAATAGTAAAAGAAGAACCCAATGATATCATTAAACCAACAAGATATAAATGTATAGAAAGTTAGTGTTTCATATATTTAAAATATGATGTATAATTTTTTATATGATCACTTTAATATGAACAATAATAATATATACGATTTTCTTTCAAAACCTTAATATAGAGGTTATCTTAATCTATAAATAAAAAATAAAAAATCTATTAAAGATAAAAAAGATACGCATGTGTACAACAAATATTGTTTGGATGAATTATAGTATTGATATTTAAAATTGTTCAACAATAATCAGTTAATATTGCCTTTAATTTTAATTTTGCAGATTTATCAGACAAGCAACTAAAAAAGAGGTGGCGAAAATCCAACTATTATTTTGGATGAAGATTTAAAATAAATATTATTCTTGAAAAAYTTAAATACCTACCGATTCTTTTTTGGAATGAAATTGGACGTATGTGTCAAATTCACAAAAACCGTACATTATTGTGAAATGTTTTATTGATAGATGATGTGATCACGATTAGTGGAAACACTCAATAACTATGTGTGTTTCTCTTAATCGTGAATCAGTGTTAATCACAATGTTTTTCCAATTGMACAGGATCTTCATAAAATTTTAAATAAATATTATAAAGTATTAAATGGCATAAATAGCATGTAAAATTAAATTTAATTAGGTAAAATATAKTATACTACGGTGTAGGACATTAATTAATGTAACTACTTTTATTTTTTTGCTAATTACAAACTTAATCTATGAGTTTTTATATCTCTATAATTTGAAGAAAATTTTTGAATTCTATGTTTATAAGCTTACACATTCCAATTTTTTTTCCAAATAGAACGATCAATATAAAAATCAAAAATTCGGAATAAATAAGTTTATAAATACATAGAATACAATTATTTTCTACAAATTATAGAGATATAAAAACTCATGGATTAAGTTTGTGATTAACAATAAAATAAAAGTAGTTACATTAATTAATGTAATTAATATACTGTGTTCTAGTCAGTATTACTCTTGTTTTTACTGTAAATCGTACGTACTTATATTGTTACTAATATTTTTTGATGTGAACACAACGAGATAAATGGAATCAATAATTGTAATGTTACTTATTGTATGGCAAGTTAATCCATAGCACACGTCATTCCTGAGTGAAATGAAAGTCCAATATATTTCAATTGTTCTATATTTAAAATAATAAAATAGGTAACAAAACAGACTTCTTTAACACTGATACGCGTCGACGACTATAAAATGCGTGACCACAAATTTTTAAACAAAGAAAAAACGTATACCGATTTTAGTATGTCCGGCTCTCTTGGGTAGGTCAGCTTTCCTTCTGGCAACCATTCGTCAATGTTTTTGACTACATAAATGAAAAATCCTCTTATTCGACACAAATGGTTTTAATAATAAAGACATTAAGCTACACTTTATAGTAATAAAACATTACCACTTTGATAAGGACCAAAATTGTGAGCCGTACGAGTAGCATACCTCTCAACACGTGCAGTTCGAAAAGTTGAGCGTGCGGAATGAAATAAAATAATTTATAGCAACCGATAGTTATATACAATTTTCAAATAATATAAATTTTAGTCAACTATAATTTGTTATTGTATGAGCGATTATCTGATTTTATGTGACATTGTACGTTGTTTGCCGAGTATAGACTCGCAGATTAAACGCGCCGGATATGTAGTGCTACGTATTTTAAATAATTAAATTGTGTATAACAAAGGGGAAATTATGATATAAATTATAAAACGATGAAAATGGACTRTAAATTAATGATATACATATTGCCAACTCTTACGTCCAAAACATGATAATAGTGAATAGTGCTCAATGCTAAGGTTAGTACACAACAAATTACAATACATGATATCGACAATATGAATATGCTAAAAAATAAACAAATGGGTACGATACTGGGTTAATCTGAACCCATGGATGTATATTTGAATACCCTCGTTATTCGACATGAACGCAGTTGAGATAGCAAATTTGACYTCAACGGCAACATGCCGACCACACACGTACGAGTATTTACGGCAACACGAGACAGCAATTATTATATTATATTCATCAATACAAATCGTTATCGGCGAGTGCAGGTGATGTTTCATGGAAATGTCCATAGAAAAAAAAAATTGTTATTAATTATTTCTTTTTACATTAATTTTATTGTGATGAAATAGTAATAGGTACCTACTACAAATACCTCGTACATTTTAAGTGGCTTTAGTAAAAAAAGTATGATCTGTTCAAGAAATTTCAGAAATTTACATCACAATCGACTCAAACTTGCGACGACGTGTGACGTAAAATGACGAGCACACACTTATCGTCTTGATTTCAACGCATAATATACAAACGGACGCCGACAAACTTTGATAACTGGCCGTCGGTATTAATTCGTCACTGTTTATCCTAATACGTTATTARCTCAATTTTAACACATTTATCACAATGGCTCGGATGTTTGTGACTTTGTATATACTTTTCACGTCACGAAAATTATATTTGATTCATCAAGTCTGAATTATAAATGTGTAAACTTATTTTGCATATTTATGCAGAATTGGAATATTTTAGCATATAGTTAAATAATGCATAATATAATAATGATTATTTCTAAATTATCTAGTATATTATTTTATTATAAAAATATAATTAGTAAAATTAAAAAAAAATGTCCATATTATTATCATTTATCATACCTAGTAAATTTTATATATTTCATCAAAAAAAAAAAAAATTACGGTTAATATTATTTCGTATCTATATATGAATAACTCACTAACACACTCATAAAATTAGGAGATTAGATATTTATATACTAACGATGTTGTGACTGCAGGTGGACTTAAACTATGAGTGAAAAGTTTCGAGATTATAACGTGTTTGATCTCTAATACAGTGAAAACTCTCTATAACGAATCTGAAGGGACCATGTGATTTCTTTCGTTATTRAGAGTTTTCGTAATAGAGAGTAATTAATAGGTTTTAAATCAAACCAACCATTATAAGTTAACTTAATGTTATTTACGTAATATAGAGTTTTTCGTTGTAACGAGTTTCGKTATAAAGAGTTTTCACTGTATTTAAATATCATTTTTGTCAACATTCAATATTCAGTTTTGTTTGTTCGTTGCAGTTCACAAATTCTTCGCTAAACAATTGTTTAAAACATATTGTCGGGTCATCGGAGGTCTTTCAAACTTGAAAATAATTATTACATTGTGAAAAAAACCCATATTTTGTAATAAAGTAATTTTAAATACATATTAATTTTTTTTCATACATTGCTAAAAAAATAGGTATATTTAAAATATTTWATGGCATATAATTGCATATTTTGACTTTTTTAAATGCATATTTTAATGATATTTTGGTCATTCACATCCGAGCTTTATATTATCTCTAACAAAATGTAACAGAGTGTGGTGTTTACCCTGACAATTTTCGCATTTGACTATCAAAACAAAATGTTTTCACAGATGACTAGGCACCAAACGGCAAATACACAAAAAAATGTTTGTTAAAAAATCTACTTAAATTATAAACCGTAAAAGTGAGAGTATTCGTGTTGACACTGCAACAAACATAATATTCTCGTTCCTACTTTTGTATAGTAATAATATATTTATTTRTTTTATTATTTTTATTATTTTCATTTTATATCTTCTCAGTATAATAAAAATAATATWATATWATTTAACCGRTATTATAGATCGAATCAATACCAATATCGTGTGACAACAATATATCAATATTGTTCAACTATTTTGAGAGTGAGTATTTATAAATCGTGTAAATTATAATTATTAAACGATGCGAGGAGGTATGTCTATATCATATTAAAATATTATTTGCATAATTTGATGTCGTCGAGTTAATTTTTTTTATTTTTTGATAGAGCCGGGCGTGTCTTTAATTTTACCTACGTGAGCTTTATAATATGATGTCAAAGATATTGGTGTTGGATTAATTAACCATTTTAAGATGTGAATATCATACATTCTTACCGTCATACATATAGGCTATAATATATTAACACCATAGTTGTTCATTTAACATTAATGACAGTTGACAATCATAGTATGGGTTTGCCTATAACATATTGCTAAATTATAATATTAACATGTTTTATTTTCAGGATTTTAAAACATATTATGCATAATATTATAATATAATAAATCGTTGAAAATAATGGCGGTTACAAAATATTATCGAATTAGAATTTATAAATAAAACATAAAACAAGCTTTACAGGTTACCAGTATCATCTTTTTTTCCTTATTTTTTTTAATATTTCAATTATTTCAATTTTACATTAAATAGATACATTTTCCAATATTTTAATTTATTTTAATGTTTTGGTAAAAAAGTATAAAAAAATGTATTTTTTATTTAATTATTTCCAAGAAAATTGAAGATTGCCATTTTGTAAAG